GGGTTAATTATGCTAATTAGACGGTAATTAGGTTAATTAGAGGTTGATGGGGGGGGGGGGGAATTTTGGGCGATTTTCGGGCGATTTTTGGGGGTTTTGGGGATTTTTTTGGGGGAATTTCCGGGTATTGGAATAAAGGCGACAATGTCAAAGATGGCGGATTTATGGTGATTTGGGGGTTAATTACGCTAATTAGACGGTAATTAGGTTAATTAGAGGTTGATTAGGGGTGGGTTTGGGGGAATTTTGGCGATTTTCGGGCAATTTTTGGGGGTTTTTGGGGGATTTTGGGGACTTTTGGGAGCGTGGGAATAAAGGCGGCGACATCCAAGATGGCACCTTTATGTTAATTGGGGGGTTAATTATGCTAATTATATGCTAATTATGGGGATTAGGGGCGGGTAGGGGTGGGTTGGGAGATTTTTGGAGGGGTTTTGGGGGGTTTTGGGATTTTGGGGGGATTTGGGGAATAAAGATGGCGGGTTTATGCTAATTAGATGGTAATTAGCTGGTAATAAGATGGTAATTAGGACCCGGTCGGGGGCGTCCTTATGGTAATTAGGGGGTGGTTAACAGGGGAGTGGGAGGGGCTCCAAAGTGGGCGGGGCTGGGGTTAAACCGGGTCTAAACTGGGGCCAAACTGGGACCAAACTGGGGCCAAACTGGGACTAAACTGGGGCCAAACTGGGACCAAACTGGGGCCAAACTGGGACTAAACTGGGGCCAAACTGGGTCTAAACTGGGGCCAAACTGCGACCAAACTGGGACCAAACTTGGGCCAAACTGGGACCAAACTGGGGCCAAACTGGGACCAAACTGGGGTCAAACTGGGACTAAACTGGGACTAAACTGGGGCCAAACTGGGTCTAAACTGGGACCAAACTGGGGCCAAACTGGTACCAAACGGGGTCTAAACTGGGTCTAAACTGCTCCGTACTGGTCCGTACTGGTCTATACTGGTCTGTACTGGTCTATACTGGTCCGAACTGGTCTGTGCTGGTCCGAACTGGTCCATACTGGTTTATACTGGTCCGAACTGGTCCATACTGGTCTATACTGGTCTGTACTGGTCTGTACTGGTCTATACTGCTCTGTACTGGTCTGTATTGGTCCGAACTGGTCCATACTGGTCCATACTGGTCTATACTGGTCTGTACTGGTCCGAACTGGTCCGTACTGGTTTATACTGGTCCGATCTGGTCCCCGTCCCACCCAGGGCTGGTGCTGCCCCCCGATCTCTGCTCGGAGGAGCCCGAGGGGGGTCCCTGGGACACTCTGGGGGTTCTCGTCACCCTCTTCCTGCTCAGCGTCTCCTACGGGGCCACCCTGACCCTCTGCAAGGTACTGGTTTATACTGGGAGGGACTGGGAGGGGACTGGGAGGGG